TGCATATAACTGTTGTAGTCTAAGAATTATGTGAAAGTAAAGCATCTTACTAACTGGTACTTCCTTCATCTTTCTTTTCGTGATAGGTTTTGATTTAAAACTTGGCACATTATAGTAACGGCATGCAATCTCTGATTAATCATCTTTATAGAATAACATGTATTCATTGTTATAACAATCTATCCTTATGTATGTTAAACCATGCTTGGCAACCAACTTCTTAGTCTGATATAAATCTACAGGAATTATGTTATCAGCCTGATTGGTTTCATTAAGCAGACCAATGAATTGATTAAAACATTCATGATATATTATATTATCCCTTGATGCTTAACATCTTAACAAAAATGGATAACTCTGAGTGAGTAGTGCACCCCTGCCATATTGGTTTTTGAGAAGCATGAAACAAATCATATTTTTTTTTTTTTGCATTCTTATTAGGTAACTCTTCTATATAGTATGCAAATTATGTTCCAATTGCATCATGAACTAAGTCCTCGATATTAGATTGGATATTATCTTCACTATCCATATAAGAATTGGTTGACGGGCGCTTTGAGAATCAAAATGTGACTCATACTCACTATAAGAAGTCCAATGCCAATATTCTAGCATAAAGCCTCTACGTTATTGATCAATAATTATGTTATATGGGCTTAGGTGCACTTAATTTTTATGTTTAGAATATGGTCAACAAAACTTTCCATCTGAGATGAAGCTGGGTAGTTGATAAGCGATCTGAATGAAAAATTCACCCCTTTAATGAATTTATCTGTTAATGTCTTTCTCCCTTGTACCAATCGATTATACATCTAACTTCTTTGATTTTTGATATCCATAATATGACCTATATATATAATATGTATATATTAAATATTTATGTAATGATTATTGAAGAAAAATAGAGAATTTTTTAATTTCACATAAGTCCCGCCTGTCACTGAAAAATCTGACAGCCTAGCTTAGCCTGCTTCCACTATGTGACCAAACCAATATATGTTTTTTTATTAACATCATACTAAAAGCTACCATTTTATGTGACCAAACCATCCAAGGCGACTCTATGTAATATTATGCTTTGTTTGAAGGGGACTTTCCTATCAAGCAACAATGTCCTTTACTTCCACCATCCATTTTGAATTCTACTGATAATATACCTATACATTTCACTATAAATAGATAAAATAATTAATAAAAATGTATATTATAATTAATTACTTCATCACCCAAAGTCACCATACCTCAACTATTTCTATTACTATTAAAATTACACTCCATATATTAAGTTTTAGATCTACTTATGTGAAAATCCTTAAACACTAAGGTTGACCTAAGTAATTCAATTTTATGTTCAACTCCCTCTCTATTATTATCAACAAGAATAATTTCATTAGCAAAAAGCATACAACAAGATACATTCTCTTTCAAATGCCTAGTGAGAACATCAATGTCGGTAACAAAATGGCAGCAATTTCTCTTACGGGAGGCTTCGGTGAATGTTAGCGATGATTGATTGCAGTGAACATCGATGAACTTTGGCGAGTAACAGGTTGTTTTAGGGGAAGCTCTTGGGCGCTAGCAGAGATAATTAAAAAATTGAGGGAAGAAATGAGGAAGGCGGTGGAGAAGCTGAAATAGAGCCTTTTCTGATGACCTTTCTGTTAGATATTTTGATGGTATGATTATCGATGTATAAAGCATTGGTAATGTTCTATTGAGTTTAAATACGATGGCATAAATTACTGACAGTAATTGCACCGGTAATTACCAGCAGATTTATCGTAGGAATTCTTTAAGAATTGACAAACGAACAAGTGAAAAATACGTCAGTAATATAGTGGAGGAATGTCCGCCAAAAAAGTTACCATTATTATTCAAGTTGATAATACTACATGCTTAACCCATCCTCCTCACATAGCTCACCTAAAGCAAAATCCTCCACATGTTCCTTTGGATTTGACTCAACCTCAACTTATTGATACTCCTCGTATGATTATAAGAGATAAGCTATGATGTATTTTCCAAGAAGAATTCCCGATGAGGGATAAAAATTAGTTTAATCCTCAATGTAAGTTGCAAGATTCAACTCCTTTAATAAATAAAATTCTATAGCATCCAATTTCAATAGGTTTTAAATTATCCACTCTTGATCTCAATGATGGATCATCTAATTCATTTAAGCATATTTATTATTATAGGACCATTATACATACAACAAGCCTCTAATGCTCTTCTTTGTCAAGTTTTCCCTTTCACTCTCAATGATCAAGCTCGCACATGGTTATATTCTCTTCTTAGAACTATAATTCATAATTTTACTCATCTTGCAAGACTTTTTGTCAAACAATTATTTCCAACCAAAGAATTATTAATAACTCCTCATGTCTAAAGCATAACATCAAATTGCCTCCTTTCTTTCCAAAGTATCCCAACTCATAAGCACAACAACCATCAACCCTAGCCACTAGCTCCTCTCTCACCCTTGTTGTTGGCTTCCTATTCTTGACTTTTTTGTCACCTACCCAGTAAAAGCCCTAGACACTATCTCTCATCGATTTCACTTTTACTATTCAGGTTTTCATAGCTTCCCCTCTTTCACTACTCAGGTATAAATCCTACTTTAATTTATTCAACCCTCACTCAGAGGGCCTAGATTTCCTCCTTTTTCCCCAACTATATTCCCAAACCGTCAGGGAATAAGTTTTCATAGATTTATTTTAGATGGAGCGAGTGTCACTTTATATGTTTATTTTAGATAAAACAAGTGTAACCCCATAGGTTTATCGTAAATAATGTAAGTGAGGCTCCTTTATTGAGTACAATTTATCATATTTTAATTTTATTTAATATAGATATCATATATCAAAATTGGATTTACATGCAATAGATATCATCCTAAAATAAGAGGCTTAATAGAAGAATTTTTAAATGGAGTTCAAGTATTTATAGATTTTCCATGTCAATGACAAATAATTCTTAAGGTTAAAATTCGCTATGCATATTCAAAACATAATAATCATATTTTACAATCACTTTGTACTAGAGGTACTATTCCTTCTACTAAACAAAAAAGAAGGCTAGTAAGTTATCTTCATTTAATAATTTAATTTATGCATACATATATAATGAAATCTTCTATAATAGTTTGATTAGATGTAGTAACTTGATAGGAAATCTTATATTATCTAAGATTGTTGAAAATTATCATGCACATCTTGAAGTTTTGCCTTGGGAACACTTTAATGGTGCTACGACACTGCCTTCTAAGTTATATGCGTGCTTGGAGGCTGGCATTACGGTGCTTAATAAGTGGCACAATGGCTTTGAGATATCTAATTTGAATGTCTATAATCTTCCTTTGGAAGAACTAAAATGCTTTAAAAAAATATGGTGTTGTGATGCCAGATCAAACTTTTTTTCGGGGGGGGGGGAGCAAACCCATTTTCAAAACCTAATCAAAATCTAAAAACACTTCATTTCATTCATTTGGTGAAGAGAAGGAAGAAGAGAAAAATAAAAGAGAAGAGGAGGAGAGAGAAGTGGGGTTTGGGGTCTTCAAGCCGATTTCATATGTCAAACCAGCTAGATTAATGAAATGATAATTGATTATTCCATTCAGTCTAGACATAATGAATAACTTGCAAAATAGATTCATGAACTCCATATACACACATAGCACTCTGAAACACATGCAGAATACATGAATGCAGAATCTCATTGGATTACCCTTACTAGAACGAGTCATAATAGGTACAACTACGTGCCGCTTCACTAGGTATTACAATAAAATTGGTATACAATAAAGGGGATGGTGTCTTACAAGATTTATATGATAAAAGATGTTGATAAGGGGAAGGATTGGGGAGAAGTGGTAGAGTGATGAGGGAGGGTCATGTTTCTGATGAAGGCTAAGTAAAAGTAGTCAGAGAAGTTCGTTTAATCTTTGATGAAATCAATAAAGTTGTACTATTAAGGGATTGCAAGTATAAATGTAATTAAATTGATAAGGAGCACAAAGACTAAGGAATTGAGGAAGGTATTATCAATTTTCTTTTCTTACGGTGGTGGGAATCAAATCAGAGGGGAATCATAGATAATTATGATAATAACTAGACTATCGGAGGAATTAATGGAAGATGGTAGTGAGGAGAAACTAGGTAGAGGATGATGATGAGAAACATAAAATTATAGATTGATGACAACGCATTATTGATATCCTAGCCACAGGAGGGTAATATACTTTAGTCCATCATTGATGGGGTACTAAGATCTTTCAAGAGAGATTGGTGGGTCAAAATAAAAATATGTAGTCTTGTGTGTTTGATGTGTTGGGGGAGAAAGAGAGTGATTAAAGTGGTGAAAAGAAAAATAAGTTGATGGTACTAATGAAGGTCATAAAGAGGATTGAATGTGTATGAGCTCAAAGAGGAGCTTTTGATAAAGGTTATTATCCCATGATGGCGATAATAAAAACAATATTTTTAATTAATTGAATATGCTAATATAAACTATTCAATATATGCAAGAGGAAATAAAAAAAGAAACAAAATAAAAGAGAATATCCAGTATAATGAAGATATATACAATAATAATTTGAAGATTCTTCTTGTAAATTTTTAATATATATGGAAATAATAGCATCCAATTAGCAAACCACTTTGTCAAACCACTTGATGGTTACGCTTACTATCGAACACTTTACAAGTTGGGCTTTCTTGACATTTCAATTTCAACTCCATTTTGAGGAGGATTTCAAATGTCCATATAAGCCAATTATTTAAGGCTTAATCATAGTAAAATATTATTAGTATTCAATATATTCTTGAATGGATCTTATTAATATAACAAGTTATAAGTTCCCTATATTTGCTTAGATTTAAATTTATAGTTTTTCTATATATATTCAGTAGTTAAATGAAATAGAATAAGATTTATAAGAACATTGTTATCCATCATTTTATTTATCATTTTAACATCTCAAATAACCTTTCAACTCTTAAATGGCTGACTCCACTCCCCCTTCCCAAGTACAAACCTCTGCCTCCAACACCAAACCCAATGTTCCTCCCTCTCGTTATCATGGCGTCAGCTTACACAACGGCAAATGGAAAGCAGAAGTTTATAGTTGGCATCACTCTAAAACCATATGGCTAGGTCTCTATGCTACGCCAGAAATGGCCGCCATTACTTATGATGTGGGTGCACTCGCATACAATGGGGGAAATGCAGTGTTTAATTTTCCTGATGCATTACGATTACATCCTGTACTAAAAACAACTTCAATTACTCATGTTCGAGCAGCAGCAACAGAAGTAGCAACACAATATGGTCTGAGGCCTAAGGCTGTAGATGCATCTGAGGTGACATCACAGGAGATAGGTGAGTATGTTGATGAGGATGAACTTTTCTATATGCCACAAGTGTTGACTGACATGGCAGAGGGGTTGATGATAAGTCCACCAAGATTGGGCCCTCCAGAGCATTATGAGCCACTAGAAGTTGTTCAAGATGATAATTTATGGAATTTTGATGACTAAAAAGGATAGTGGCATTTTTCTAGGGCTATCATAAGAAGATAATCTTAGGATATTCTCATCAAATGTTTCATTAGTTAAATTTTAAAATTGTAGGATTTATTTTAAGAAATTTATGATCTAAATTTTCAGTACTTTGTATATTTCATTCTATCTTAAAGCCAATTCTTATTTCTTAATCCACTTTCATTTTCCTATTTTTCCCACTGAATTAATTTTTATCAATTTCAAGTCTTCTTCCTCAGATCGGGTTGAATTGGTAAATGTTTTTAATCATGCGAATGAATTCTTCTTCCTCTCCTTTTGGAATAAGTAAATCTCAACAACAAAGGGCTGAATTCTTATTTCCTACTTGGATTTTTGGCATATTTACTTGGAATATTCTACCCTTTCATGTCCTAATGAGGCTAATAGGTTGGATAAAAATTACACGCAAAGTAAATTCTTTATGGAAATTCTTATAAATTATTTTTTAATTATAATCACTCATGTTTAAGTTTTACAAAAAAAAATTATAATCTATGAGCTTGGGCTTCTTTTGAAGACTTAAAAGCATGCATTTTTATAAATTCAAATATAACATACAAGTCGCATGCATCAAATATATATTACAGCTTTGATACAATAACATGAATTATAAAATATTAAAGGTGACGAGAAAAAAAATTCATATATAAGTTCACAATTTTTTATTTTTGTGTGACAAAGTAATTTTTAATTATTAGTCACATATTCTTATAAAATATAAATTTAAATAGAATTTTGGTATAGTTCTTTAGATAACCTCTTTTTCACCAAACTTCTGAGCATACAAATCATCAACCCTTGCCATTAGCTCCAGCTCTCGTACTTGATGCTTGTCACAACCCAACTGAATATAACCCCTTTTTCCAATAGGTCATACAAGGTCGAAAGTGTGACAACAACTTGCTCATGGTATATTTGAAAAGATTTTCTTTTATTTTTATCAAAGAGCCACTAGAACATCCATATACATAAAATATCATTTAAAATACAAACATTTACATCTCATATCTATTTATCTCAAAACATTTATATAATAATCATGTTTCTTCTAAGAATCATCCAAATACATATAGCCTATAATCACAAATGAATTCTTCTAAAATATATAGAAAATACCTATCACAGCAACACCAGAGCAATCGCGCTCAACTAGTTCCTTACCCTTCTCATGGAAAAAAAATGCAACATATAATGATCAAAAATCCTAGCTAGTTATGTGAAACCTACAATGGTATTAATTAATGCACAAATGCAAAACAATATGTATGTTATCTATTAGTATGAACATTTGATAAATACTAAACTCATTTGACCATGGGTTGGGGTTGGATTCAAATCATTCCAAATGATATTTAGAACTTATTATAGGATGTTTTAGGCCATGGCATGGTATACATATATAAAATGCATGTTTAGGTATTTAAGGGTTGATTTGGTCAAACTAGGTTGACTTGGCCAACCAAGCTTGATCAAGACTTGGGTTTCGGTCCATTCCACCTCAAATGGTATTTGAAATTTGTTGTAAGTGGTCTTATATCATGGCATGATTAAGCCGTGAAGGGTTTATTCAAAAGTTCCATTTTAGGGTTTTAAGATTTAATTTCTTCTTGGTTAATGATAGTGAACCATGTTCCACCAAGAATTCAATTGGGTTTAGCCATAAATGATTTAAGATTTGATAACAATTAAAGGCTTTGATGAGGTTTGGGTAAGCTTCTAAAGAGCATGCAGGGTTTAGGGTATGGTTCAAGGGGGTTTAATAGTGAAAGTGACCAATGGAGGTCAACTTAGCCCATTCAAGGGTTCAATATAATCTATGAATGATCTTGAATATTTGTTTAATGCCTATGATAGAAATTCATATCTTGGATTGGGTGATTCAATATGATTCATGTATGTGATGGGTTTATGTTCAAAAGGTGGTCAATAAATCAAACTAGGTCAACCTAAGTCGACCATGTCCTCAAATTAGTTCAAATCAATATAATAATGATTATGAACATATTCAATGAGTTTTCAAAGGATCCCATGGGGATTTTCATCAATATGTCTAGTTAAGTGGCACAAGTTATAAATATTTAAAGGTCTTGTGTTCTTGGGATATGCTTTGAGTTTTAGGGTTTAAGAAGGATATGGAAGCCCCACCAAAATGATTAGGTATACTCTATAGTATTTCCTAATCAATATTTAAATGATCAAGAGCCATTCCAGAGATTTTATCATGAGTTTTGAATCAATTGTAAATTACTTTGAAAAAGGAAAATGTTTAAAGGCTTTAGGATTTGAATTTAGTCATTAAATTTTGCAATCGGCATTTGATTTATATTAAATTTAGGATTGCTTTATGAATTATTTAGGGGAAATTTTATGATTTTAAAATTCTTGAATCAATGATTATCATTGAATGTTTGTCAGTGATTAATGATTAATTATATAACTAACTTGTCAAATGACTTAATTAAAGTTTTAATAATTAAATAAAATGCTAAGGAATAATGTGAAATGAGATTTAAGCTTTGAAAAAAAGGGAATTTAAGGATTTGAAGACCATAAATGAAATTTTGATTTAGGTTTTGACCTCACACAAAATTGAGGCCAATAATCACTATCACCCTTGACGATCAGTATCAGAATATGCAATCATGTCGATAATATTGAAAAGATTTAACCTCATGATTAGGTATAGCTGTTTTCTTATATACACCTTCTATCTAATCCCTATATGGTATATTAATCCCTATTATTTGATGTTAACTATACCTCTATAAACATTTGATTTATGTAATCTCCCTTATTAAAAAATTAGATGTTTGTTTTCAAATCAACCCCCTCTTCTTTAAGGGTTAAGAGAGGTAGATTCTTGTATCACCTACTACATAACAGATTGTTCAACTTGGCCAAGCCTCTTGGTTTTTTTCCCATTTTTTGGTTTTTATGCAAAAAAAGCTAATCTTACTATTTTTATCTATGCGTACTAAATTTTTGGACAATGCTGGGATGTAAAATATATACTATATGACTCAAATTTTCAGCACATAATAAGTGTACTTCATGATGGAGAATAAATTACTTTTTATTTAAGAGTGAGGAAGAGTAATAAATAGAATAAATTATATGTATAGTCATGATCATCTTCTTATGTATTTTGATATGTAGTAATTAGGTCTTAATGAGGGTCATCCCTCTCTAGAATAGATCTCTCAAAAGGACTCACTTAGTACTAGAGAGGAACTCTCCCAAGGATACTGATAAGGGTCACTAAATGACATCTAGCAAGAAGCTCATTACACATTGGGTGACCTAGAAGTTCTTCTCAAAAGGACTCTCCTGTCAAGCTCGTCACGTAAAGCTACATGAAAGTGTCTATACCTAAGACCTCATATCACACTCAGTTACTATTATAAATCTCGGAGACCATTTACCCCACAAACACTTATGTTTCAATTTTATGATAAGGTGGCCCTAAGCATCCTATAATAGTTGTCCACAAAGCAAGATGATTTGTTAGCTATGGGTTCACTCCCTTCAAACTCACCACATACTTCCCCCTACTCCTACTTGATTCTTTTGAGCTCTTCTGATAATAGATAACTTTGTTGACCATCATTTTTACCCTTCTATAACAAATCAAGAGGAAAAAAGTATTCTAATTTAATATGTAGCATTGTATGGGTATTTTATATAGCTAATATTTTGTACCTCTCTGGAAAGCCTTTTTTTTTCTCAAAATTCAATAAATAAGGAGTGACAAGGAATAGTTTGTGGCATTCTTTCAAACTTTTTTTCTAATCCTTTTCTCACCCTAGGTTAGAGACTTTATATCTATTATCTTTTCCATTTATTTATGATAAGATAGTGGATATTTTGTAAATCCATTCTTCATCGCTTTATCCTATCTACTCTCTCTACTCTTGGTCATCACTAACATATCTTAGCTGACTAGACTGGTCTGCTATTAAAGTTAGGCATCATCCACCTGATAGATTCATATTCATTATTCACTTAGGTGCAGTGAGAATGGATTGATGCCAAGGGTCAGAAAATAGATTAGAGACCTTAGTAATAACCTTTTGTGAATAAGGAGAACATTAAGTACACCAATCACTATAACCTAAAAGAGATGGAGGAGAAAATAATGAAGATAATCTAGGATGCTCTAAGCAACCTCTCAAGTAGAGCACAAACTAAAAGTATTCTGGTAGTATCATCTAATTTGGCCACTTGCTAGAAGCACTTGGGCACTCGCCTTAATGCCAATTGCTAACTTCACTCACACCTAGATGAGTGATAAATATTATAACCTGCTATTTAGGCGAGCAATGAGAAGAGAACCATAATTGAACTATGCCTTCTTTAGGGCAATCGACGAGGCTAAGGCACTTCCTAAGTTTAAGGCACTACACCTGGAGTCATACAGAGGAAAAATTGACCACATTTATCTTGTGGAGACCTTTGTATCTATGACCTCATTGCAGGACATAAATGATGCCCTTACTCATTTCTTTTTTATCTACTACTAACTAAAAGTAGATTGATAGTGCAAGGAATATTTGGGCCAAATAATTATGGTTCACATTGTATAAGAAGGATACATAGAAGATGAGTACTTTGTGATAAGAATATACAAGAAAGTGATAAATAGAATAAAAAGGACAATTGTATACCTAAAATTTAAATTTTAAGTATTTATAAATACTAAAAATATTATTTTAATTGATTTAGTTTAATAGCCTTTATTTATTATAGAAAAATGGAGATTATTTTTATAATTAAAAAATAGATATTATTATAGCATATCTCTTCTTAGTTCACTCTTTATGCACAATTTTGGATTGATAGATTGAGTATAATTTTTTTCAAGGGAGATCCTAAATTTAGATCACAATTATGGTTCTAAACTCTCATGGTCTTTTAATGGGTTTAATGGATAAAGCTTGGAACAAGACATCATCCTAATTATATAAGGAGATTCATTT